ACCTTCTTTTTGTTTACAGCAACGAAAGTTATAGATCTCCATCTGAGTATTCTTTCTAGGGCGAAAATAATCAGTACCTTTTTTCGTACCGCTGTAATCCGGAGTTGATGTCCCTTTCTGCGCCTCGTATATGTCGTATGTTCTTTCGCCGACATAGTGTAAAAGTAAAGCTCTCTTCCTATCGTCTATACTTTTAATTGCGTTTTGATCAGGTTCCTCACCTTCAGACACTACGGGATTCACTAATTTCAGGGCGATAAACAAATTTTCCAGGCGACCAATCCATCTGTCCCATCGGGGCCCTGCGTTGTTTTTGTCTGTTTCTGGGTCGAACTGTGGAAATATAGGCAACGTGATGTCCATCCTCGTCGCCAGTTGTTGTATCTATTACTATGGATTACTGAGGATGCCCTGCAGACATAACCGACAACCATGTGCTGTTGACTCGTTTATTATAATACACTTCCGGTACATAAACTTATAATAGAATGATGATAAGATATAATAATTCCGGATACTACACACGCAGAGTTGTTTAGTGGTATTGAAAAAAATATATAAATTAAATAAATGTCATTGCAATTAGAACTCTTACTCGTGCTTATTTTTGCAAACCAGACAGCACACACTGACAGAAAGAAATAAGAAATGTTCAAATTCAATGTTCAAATACTTCTGTGTTTCTTTTCTTTACTTGCATTTGCGGTACTGTGTAAATATTGAATCAGATGAGCTAGCGACCAAGGAGAATCTAGGACACGTAATAATGTACAGTGTAGCACTTGCCGAAAATTGCACGCATTATGTACCGAAAGTCCAAGCATATTAGAGAATTGTACAATAATGAATTCGAAATAATAAGAAATAATTATTTCTTATATTATTCAAACGTGGTTAATTCTATTCGTTACACAGGCCCCTAGCAACGGTTTCAAAAGTGTGGGTTGGGGACTTCTCAAAAGAATCCAACAAGCAAAAAAAAGGTAATTTACTATACAAATCCTGGAATTTGCCAGTGCTCGATCTTACAACAAAAAGGGCATCTAAAGGAATATTTACTATAATAACAAAATATTATACTCAGAAAAAGTGGGGGCCCCGCGTTCTACGGGTCCGTTACTAGAAAGATTTCAGTCTGTCTCTACTGCAAATGTCAGTTCACAACGATCCATTTCGGTATACCGTACATGTACATACTCGTTTATAAGTCGGTCTGCTTATAAGTCGGTTGTATTTTTTTTTTCAGATTAATTCGGAAGAATTAGTCATTGACCCACTAATAGGTCGGTAATATCTTGCTAAAATCTGTAGACAATTTCAGATGAATTTTTTTTTTTTGTATTTACGAGCGTTTCTAAGTACATCGGCTTGGCCAAGATCAGGTGCCCATTTCCAACTAAATGATGTTATATATAGTAAGGTGCAAAAAAGTCCGGATTTTTCTGTGCATATCTTTCACATGCATATTTATTTAAATATCTAATTTTCAACATTATTTTCTTATTTAGAAATAAAAGGGCTACTTTTAGAGTTATCCCCCTTGTTTCTATGCGATGTCACGTCATGATGCTTTCAGCAGACGACATATTTTCGGATTACAGCGATGTCAGAAATTGACAACAGAAAACGTCTCCTAAATCTATATGAATGCGGAATCACTTCGGCGAGAAATTGTTTGAAATAACAAACATACTTAGGTCTACTGTATATGATAATTTGAAAAGATTTCGTGAAGGGAAGTCCGAGATACGGTGTCCAGGATCTGGTCGGAAGAAAATTTTTGACGTGAATGACAGCAGACGGGCTGCACAACTTGCTGCTTCTCATCCGCAATGGTCAGCACAGAAATTGCCAATGAATGTGCAGGAAGAGGATCAGTTTTAGTTTCGAAATGGACTATGGGTCGGACTTTGGCTCGCAGTAATTATTTTAAATCGGTGCCTCAAAAGGTGCCACTAATGATCGCAGAACATAAGCATAAAAGAGAGGTATGGTGCATCGTTCATTAGAATGACAATTTTGACAATGTGTTTTTACGGACGAAAGTCGATTTCAGTTCAACAGATGAACCCGAAAAAGGTGGGCAAAATTTGGACATTGTCAAAAAATGATGCCGAAGTTCTCACCAGCTGTTACGGTATGGGGTGGAATAAGCAAGTTGGGTTTAACTCCGCTTGTTTCGGTGAGTGGAAATATTTCCGCAGTGAAGTACTGTGAAATTTTGGAGGAGGGATTGTTGTCGTCCAATATTGTGACAAACGATCTACCTTATGTTTTACAACAGGTCAACGCTAGACTGCACACCGCAAGCTATACCGTGACTGGTTTACAAAGAATCACGTGACCGTAATGGACTGGCCTGCCGCTTCGCCGGATTTAAATCCGATAGAAAATTTTTGGCAGATCATGAAATATCGTGTGGAAAAAATTCAGCCAGATAATATCACAGACTGGAAAGTTACAATCATGGAAAAATGAATGGGTTTGGATCAGAACTATATAGACAGTCTGGTATAGAGAGTATGCAACGGCGCATCGCTCAGTGTATTGTGAGACACGAGGATCTGACTGACTATTGACTTCATTCATTGTAAATTCAGTGGTTCTATATTCATTAATTTGCTTTCATTTAAAGATATTGTAACTGTTGCAAAAATAAAAAAAATTACTTGAGTTGAAATCCGGGGGTTTTTTTTTGCACTCTGCTATAGATGTAACTCTTTAGAGTTACAATTAATCTTAATATCGTTTGTTGCGTTGCTAAGATCAGAATGAGAGCTTTCCATTGGTATATATATATATATATATATATATATATATATATATATATATATATATATATATATATATATATATATACGTTGATAAGTTAAATTCTTGGTACAGTAAAAAATACTTAAATAAATGAAAACAGAATGCTACAGTCCAAATAAAATAAAATCTTTAGAATGCTACAGTCCAAATAAAATAAAATAAAATCTTTTCAGTAAAAATTTTATTTAATTTGGACTGTAGCATTCTGTTTTCATTTATAAATATATATATATATATATATATATATATATATATATATATATATATATATATATATATATATATATATGTGTGTGTGTGTGTGTGTGTGTGTGTGTGTGTGTGTGTGTGCAGAAATCCTTTTAAAACACAGACTCGTCTGCATGGCGGAGTGGTTAGAGCTTCTGCTCTAGAGTAAGGAGTTGATCCTGACGTCGCGGGTTCAAATCTCTGCCGAACGTGAGACTTGTTCTTTCGGATGAGATCGTAACCACCGAGGCTCCCTGTGGCAGTAGGTTATGGTACGACAACGATCCCTCACTGCTTAATTCCCCTGAGTACCAAATAAAGGTCTAAATTTGCAGCCCTTTTATCTTTTCTTTAGAAAGATCCCACAGTTTTCCAGTATCTTGAATTGAACAAGAGGCCCATGTGCCACATCGCTCACCTGAACACACTGGCCAGTAATAAGCAGAAATCAGTTAAGTATTGAAAAGTCTAAAGGGGGGGGGGGGTGAGTGGGGGACAGAATTCAATTTATACTTCCTCAGGATACTTCTATATCAATATTACTAATCATGACTTTGCTGTTCTTAAGAAGAAGAATTTTAAAGATTTTTTTCTAATGTATTCCTCTGTCAACTCTTCTCGCTCATTGTTGCCCCTCCCTACCTACCCTAAATTTGAACAAATTTGAATCTACACTACCTAAGTGCTTCTATAATAATATGACTGATCATGGCATTGCTGTTCTTGAGCAGAAGATTTTTTCAAGATGATTCGTATATATTCCTATGTTAAACTTTGACCCACTGTTATGGCCCGCCCTACCCCCGGGGGTCATGACTGGAACAACTTGAATCTACACTACCTGAAGATACTTCTGTATTAATATGACTAATGATGGCGTAGCTGTTCTTGAAAAGAAATTTCATAAAGATATTCCCTATATATTCCTAAGTAAAACTTTAACCTCCTTTTGTGGCCCTGTCCTACCCCCGAGGTTTATAATATCAACAAACTTTAATCTAGAATATTATTGAAGCTTTCACACAAGTTTTATCTTTTCTTGCCGGTGATTATGGAGAAGATGAAATTGTAAAAAAAAAAAAAAAGTTGACGACGACGACAACAACAAGGACGACAGACGACGGACAAATCTTGATCAGAAAAGCTCACTTAAGCAATCGACTCAGGCGAGCTAAAAATGTTAAACAGAGCAAGTGCTAAAAATTGAACAAAATGGTAACATTGAGTGTGTTGTAATGATTGCTTACTTCACCAAGAATTAAATACGTGGAGTACATTTCTAATTTATGGGTCATTTTATCAAAGTTTAAATAGAAGTGATGTACTATATGTAACTATGCATCGCATATTTTAAATGATAAATTCTCAAAACTTTATATATACACTATATATGTAAGTAATAGTTATGAGCAAATGATGCACACACATGCATTTAAATGTCCTTTTTAAATATATTTTCTCCGTGATTAGCATGGTCCTTAAGTAAAACAACGTATATCGCTGCCCTGCCCTGCGCTGAAAACTTCAAACATGTGCATTATGTGAGGCATGTGAAATGGCTCATGAATTCACGTCCTAACCACGCACTTTTTAAAAAAATTCTGTACATTTTTTAAATTTGTATTTTATTTTATATTTTCGTTTTTAATTGATAATTTCGGTTTATTTTTAAAATTTCATTTTTTTATTTTATTATTTCGTTTTTTCGTTTCGGATTCAAATTTTGAAATTTGTTCTAATATTCCTATGCAGAGTTTATGTAGGTTTGCTCAAATCATGATGTCCTATACATGTATGATTGATTGCATATTGCACCGAATCGGCAATTTTTAGCCAAACCTCGGTGGTTCACTTATGCATGCGGTGAATGAAAACAGATCTATGAAATTAAAAAAAAGTAGAAAATTCACTCACATATTCAAACTTTGTATGCGTTATACTCATACATTTAATTTTAGGTGAATATACTCAAAATCTGTGCCACATGGGAGATAAATCTTGTCCTCCATGTCCTGAGAGACTACCATCTTGTGTGGGGATTCCAAATGGGGAGCAGCCTTTTCCTGGTCGATTATGGAAACCAGACTTTGTCACTTGCATGCATAATAGAACAATGTATATTCAATATTGTAAAAATGGATACTTTCACCCTGTGAGAAAGCAATGTGTTATAAATGTCACTAAAGGTAATTGAATGAACCGTTTTGGGGGCTAATGTAGTTCGTATTTTTTTTTTTTTTTTTTTTTTTTTTTTTTTTTGATCAATTAAAATTATTGATTAAAATTACAAGTAAGGTTTCTTGTTATCTTTGTTTTTTAAAGAATTCAAAAATGTATAATTTGCAATTAAAAACACAAAAATATACAATCTGAAAGACATTATGCCAGAAAAATTCACAATTATGTTGTTGACAGCTGATGTTAAAGACTACTGTATGGCAAATCAAGACAGTATTATGGACGATCCAACCAGCTGTAACCGGTTTTATAACTGTAGCAGAGTGGCAGTAAGCAGAAAATTGACAACGTCAGAGTGTCACTACCCTGATCTATTCTCCACAATCACTAAATCGTGTCAGCTTTTCACGTCAGTCAACTGTAATTACAGACCAGAAACCATGGCACCCTGTAAGATAAATGTTTAACAAAAACCATTTAGCTAGAAAAATAACTTGATTAAATAAGGAATCAATTTTAACATGAAATATATATATTCTTTCTTTAAAATAAATAAAATGCAAACATTCTGTTATAGTGCAAGTTCATATTTGTAATCATTGCACCAGGGCCTATGGGGGGGGGGTGGGGGGGGGGAGACTCAATAGTTATTCGATATTTTATATGGAAATATGTAGGAAATATAAAAAGAGAACATTTTGAAGTTGCAGAGTAACACTAAATCAAATTGAATTGCAAACAATTCCAAATAATATAGTCTGAAGTTGTTGAAATAGAGATCTACACCCTCTTTTACGTTGAGATACTAGTAAGTAATTTTAAAGGAGTAATGGAAAATTGAATGGTATCTTTAAAACAAAATTTCTCAAAGACAACTGAGCAATTTTGCCCATGGACCTCTTGTTAGCTCTACTGGTCAGAGACCAGAAGAGCTTATGCAATAGTAATGTGTCCGTCGTCCGTCCGTCTGTCTGTCTGTCTGTCCGTCCGTCTGTAAACAATTTTTCAAAATGCTACTCCTCCTACAGTTTTGGTCTAATTTCAATATAACTTGGCACACAAGTAGACTACACTAAGATGCATAATTCTGTGTATCGGTTTTTGATTTCGATGAACGGTGTTGCCATAGTTACTAAAAATAGAAATTTCTGTGAAAAACATTCAAAATGCTACTCCTCCTACAGTTTTGATCTGATTTCAGTATAACTTGGCACACAAGTAGACTATACTAAGATGCATAATTCTGTATATCGGTTTTTGATTTCGATGAACGGTGTTGCCATGGTTACTAAAAATAGAAATTTCTGTGAAATACTTTCAAAATGCTACTCCTCCTACAGTTTTGATCTGATTTCAATATAACTTGGCACACAAGTAGACTATACAAAGATGCATAATTCTGTGTATCGGTTTTTGATTTTGATGAACGGTGTTGCCATGGTTACTAAAAATAGAAATTTCTGTGAAAACATTCAAAATGCTACTCCTCCTACAGTTTTGATCTGATTTCAATATAACTTGGCACACGAGTAGACTACACTAAGATACATAATTCTGTGTATCGGTTTTTGATTTCGATGAACAGTGTTGCCATGGTTACTAAAAATAGAAATTTCTGTGAAAAACATTCAAAATGCTACTCCTCCTACAGTTTTGATCTGATTTCAATATAACTTGGCACACATGTAGACTACACTAAGATACATAATTCTGTTTATCGGTTTTTGATTTCGATGAACGGTGTTGCCATGGTTACTAAAAATAGAAATTTCTGTGAAAAACTTTCAAAATGCTACTCCTCCTACAGTTTTGATCTGATTTCAATATAACTTGGCACACAAGTAGACTATACAAAGATGCATAATTCTGTGTATCGGTTTTTGATTTCGATGAACGGTGTTGCCATGGTTACTAAAAATAGAAATTTCTGTGAAAAACATTCAAAATGCTACTCCTCCTACAGTTTTGATCTGATTTCAATATAACTTGGCACACAAGTAGACTATACTAAGATACATAATTCTGTTTATCGGTTTTTGATTTCGATGAACGGTGTTGCCATGGTTACTAAAAATAGAAATTTCTGTGAAAAACATTCAAAATGCTACTCCTCCTACAGTTTTGATCTGATTTCAATATAACTTGGCACACAAGTAGACTATACAAAGATGCATAATTCTGTATATCGGTTTTTGTTTTGATGAACGGTGTTGCCATGGTTACTAAAAATAGAAATTTCTGTGAAATACTTTCAAAATGCTACTCCTCCTACAGTTTTGATCTGATTTCAATATAACTTGGCACACAAGTAGACTACACTAAGATACATAATTCTGTGTATCGGTTTTTGATTTCGATGAACACTGTTGCCATGGTTACTAAAAATAGAAATTTCTGTGAAAAACTTTCAAAATGCTACTCCTCCTACAGTTTTGATCTGATTTCAATATAACTTGGCACACAAGTAGACTATACTAAGATACATAATTCTGTTTATCGGTTTTTGATTTCGATGAACGGTGTTGCCATGGTTACTAAAAATAGAAATTTCTGTGAAAAACATTCAAAATGCTACTCCTCCTACAGTTTTGATCTGATTTCAATATAACTTGGCACACAAGTAGACTATACAAAGATGCATAATTCTGTATATCGGTTTTTGATTTTGATGAACGGTGTTGCCATGGTTACTAAAAATAGAAATTTCTGTGAAATACTTTCAAAATGCTACTCCTCCTACAGTTTTGATCTGATTTCAATATAACTTGGCACACAAGTAGACTATACAAAGATGCATAATTCTATATATCGGTTTTTGATTTCGATGAACGGTGTTGCCATGGTTACTAAAAATAGAAATTTCTGTGAAAAACATTCAAAATGCTACTCCTCCTACAGTTTTGATCTGATTTCAATATAACTTGGCACACAAGTAGACTACACTAAGATACATAATTCTGTGTATCGGTTTTTGATTTCGATGAACACTGTTGCCATGGTTACTAAAAATAGAAATTTCTGTGAAATACTTTCAAAATGCTACTCCTCCTACAGTTTTGATCTGATTTCAATATAACTTGGCACACAAGTAGACTATACAAAGATGCATAATTCTGTATATCGGTTTTTGATTTCGATGAACGGTGTTGCCATGGTTACTAAAAATAGAAATTTCTGTGAAATACTTTCAAAATGCTACTCCTCCTACAGTTTTGATCTGATTTCAATATAACTTGGCACACAAGTAGACTATACAAAGATGCATAATTCTGTGTATCGGTTTTTGATTTTGATGAACGGTGTTGCCATGGTTACTAAAAATAGAAATTTCTGTGAAAACATTCAAAATGCTACTCCTCCTACAGTTTTGATCTGATTTCAATATAACTTGGCACACGAGTAGACTACACTAAGATACATAATTCTGTGTATCGGTTTTTGATTTCGATGAACAGTGTTGCCATGGTTACTAAAAATAGAAATTTCTGTGAAAAACATTCAAAATGCTACTCCTCCTACAGTTTTGATCTGATTTCAATATAACTTGGCACACATGTAGACTACACTAAGATACATAATTCTGTTTATCGGTTTTTGATTTCGATGAACGGTGTTGCCATGGTTACTAAAAATAGAAATTTCTGTGAAAAACTTTCAAAATGCTACTCCTCCTACAGTTTTGATCTGATTTCAATATAACTTGGCACACAAGTAGACTATACAAAGATGCATAATTCTGTATATCGGTTTTTGATTTCGATGAACGGTGTTGCCATGGTTACTAAAAATAGAAATTTCTGTGAAAAACATTCAAAATGCTACTCCTCCTACAGTTTTGATCTGATTTCAATATAACTTGGCACACAAGTAGACTATACTAAGATACATAATTCTGTTTATCGGTTTTTGATTTCGATGAACGGTGTTGCCATGGTTACTAAAAATAGAAATTTCTGTGAAAAACATTCAAAATGCTACTCCTCCTACAGTTTTGATCTGATTTCAATATAACTTGGCACACATGTAGACTACACTAAGATACATAATTCTGTTTATCGGTTTTTGATTTCGATGAACGGTGTTGCCATGGTTACTAAAAATAGAAATTTCTGTGAAAAACTTTCAAAATGCTACTCCTCCTACAGTTTTGATCTGATTTCAATATAACTTGGCACACAAGTAGACTATACAAAGATGCATAATTCTGTGTATCGGTTTTTGATTTCGATGAACGGTGTTGCCATGGTTACTAAAAATAGAAATTTCTGTGAAAAACATTCAAAATGCTACTCCTCCTACAGTTTTGATCTGATTTCAATATAACTTGGCACACAAGTAGACTATACTAAGATACATAATTCTGTTTATCGGTTTTTGATTTCGATGAACGGTGTTGCCATGGTTACTAAAAATAGAAATTTCTGTGAAAAACATTCAAAATGCTACTCCTCCTACAGTTTTGATCTGATTTCAATATAACTTGGCACACAAGTAGACTATACAAAGATGCATAATTCTGTATATCGGTTTTTGTTTTGATGAACGGTGTTGCCATGGTTACTAAAAATAGAAATTTCTGTGAAATACTTTCAAAATGCTACTCCTCCTACAGTTTTGATCTGATTTCAATATAACTTGGCACACAAGTAGACTACACTAAGATACATAATTCTGTGTATCGGTTTTTGATTTCGATGAACACTGTTGCCATGGTTACTAAAAATAGAAATTTCTGTGAAAAACTTTCAAAATGCTACTCCTCCTACAGTTTTGATCTGATTTCAATATAACTTGGCACACAAGTAGACTATACTAAGATACATAATTCTGTTTATCGGTTTTTGATTTCGATGAACGGTGTTGCCATGGTTACTAAAAATAGAAATTTCTGTGAAAAACATTCAAAATGCTACTCCTCCTACAGTTTTGATCTGATTTCAATATAACTTGGCACACAAGTAGACTATACAAAGATGCATAATTCTGTATATCGGTTTTTGATTTTGATGAACGGTGTTGCCATGGTTACTAAAAATAGAAATTTCTGTGAAATACTTTCAAAATGCTACTCCTCCTACAGTTTTGATCTGATTTCAATATAACTTGGCACACAAGTAGACTATACAAAGATGCATAATTCTATATATCGGTTTTTGATTTCGATGAACGGTGTTGCCATGGTTACTAAAAATAGAAATTTCTGTGAAAAACATTCAAAATGCTACTCCTCCTACAGTTTTGATCTGATTTCAATATAACTTGGCACACAAGTAGACTACACTAAGATACATAATTCTGTGTATCGGTTTTTGATTTCGATGAACACTGTTGCCATGGTTACTAAAAATAGAAATTTCTGTGAAATACTTTCAAAATGCTACTCCTCCTACAGTTTTGATCTGATTTCAATATAACTTGGCACACAAGTAGACTATACAAAGATGCATAATTCTGTATATCGGTTTTTGATTTTGATGAACGGTGTTGCCATGGTTACTAAAAATAGAAATTTCTGTGAAATACTTTCAAAATGCTACTCCTCCTACAGTTTTGATCTGATTTCAATATAACTTGGCACACAAGTAGACTATACAAAGATGCATAATTCTGTGTATCGGTTTTTGATTTTGATGAACGGTGTTGCCATGGTTACTAAAAATAGAAATTTCTGTGAAAACATTCAAAATGCTACTCCTCCTACAGTTTTGATCTGATTTCAATATAACTTGGCACACGAGTAGACTACACTAAGATACATAATTCTGTGTATCGGTTTTTGATTTCGATGAACAGTGTTGCCATGGTTACTAAAAATAGAAATTTCTGTGAAAAACATTCAAAATGCTACTCCTCCTACAGTTTTGATCTGATTTCAATATAACTTGGCACACATGTAGACTACACTAAGATACATAATTCTGTTTATCGGTTTTTGATTTCGATGAACGGTGTTGCCATGGTTACTAAAAATAGAAATTTCTGTGAAAAACTTTCAAAATGCTACTCCTCCTACAGTTTTGATCTGATTTCAATATAACTTGGCACACAAGTAGACTATACAAAGATGCATAATTCTGTATATCGGTTTTTGATTTCGATGAACGGTGTTGCCATGGTTACTAAAAATAGAAATTTCTGTGAAAAACATTCAAAATGCTACTCCTCCTACAGTTTTGATCTGATTTCAATATAACTTGGCACACAAGTAGACTATACTAAGATACATAATTCTGTTTATCGGTTTTTGATTTCGATGAACGGTGTTGCCATGGTTACTAAAAATAGAAATTTCTGTGAAAAACATTCAAAATGCTACTCCTCCTACAGTTTTGATCTGATTTCAATATAACTTGGCACACAAGTAGACTATACAAAGATGCATAATTCTGTATATCGGTTTTTGTTTTGATGAACGGTGTTGCCATGGTTACTAAAAATAGAAATTTCTGTGAAATACTTTCAAAATGCTACTCCTCCTACAGTTTTGATCTGATTTCAATATAACTTGGCACACAAGTAGACTACACTAAGATACATAATTCTGTGTATCGGTTTTTGATTTCGATGAACACTGTTGCCATGGTTACTAAAAATAGAAATTTCTGTGAAAAACTTTCAAAATGCTACTCCTCCTACAGTTTTGATCTGATTTCAATATAACTTGGCACACAAGTAGACTATACTAAGATACATAAATCTGTTTATCGGTTTTTGATTTCGATGAACGGTGTTGCCATGGTTACTAAAAATAGAAATTTCTGTGAAAAACATTCAAAATGCTACTCCTCCTACAGTTTTGATCTGATTTCAATATAACTTGGCACACAAGTAGACTATACAAAGATGCATAATTCTGTATATCGGTTTTTGATTTTGATGAACGGTGTTGCCATGGTTACTAAAAATAGAAATTTCTGTGAAATACTTTCAAAATGCTACTCCTCCTACAGTTTTGATCTGATTTCAATATAACTTGGCACACAAGTAGACTATACAAAGATGCATAATTCTATATATCGGTTTTTGATTTCGATGAACGGTGTTGCCATGGTTACTAAAAATAGAAATTTCTGTGAAAAACATTCAAAATGCTACTCCTCCTACAGTTTTGATCTGATTTCAATATAACTTGGCACACAAGTAGACTACACTAAGATACATAATTCTGTGTATCGGTTTTTGATTTCGATGAACACTGTTGCCATGGTTACTAAAAATAGAAATTTCTGTGAAAAACTTTCAAAATGCTACTCCTCCTACAGTTTTGATCTGATTTCAATATAACTTGGCACACAAGTAGACTATACAAAGATGCATAATTCTGTATATCGGTTTTTGATTTCGATGAACGGTGTTGCCATGGTTACTAAAAATAGAAATTTCTGTGAAATACTTTCAAAATGCTACTCCTCCTACAGTTTTGATCTGATTTCAATATAACTTGGCACACAAGTAGACTATAATAAGATACATAATTCTGACTTTCGGTTTTTGATTTCAATGAACGATGTTGCCATGGTAACTAAAAATAGAAATTTCTTTGAAATACTTTCAAAATGCTACTCCTCTTACAGTTTTGGTCTGATTTCAATATAACTTGGCAAACAAGTAGACTACACTAAGATACATAATTCTGTGTATCGGTTTTTGATTTCGATGAACACTGTTGCCATGGTTACTAAAAATAGAAATTTCTTTGAAATACCTTCAAAATGCTACCCCTACAGTTTTGGTCTGATTTTAGTATTACTTAGCATACAAGTAAACTACACTAAGATACATAATTCTCTGTACCAGTTTCGGATTTTGATGAATGGTGTTGCCATGGTTACTAAAAATAGAAATTTTCTTAAAATACTTTCAAAACGCTACTCCTCCTACACTTTTTGTCTGATTTCAGAATAATGTGGCATACAAGTAGACTACAGAGATACATAATTGGTGTTATTGTTTTTTGATTTTGTTGAATGATGTTGCCATGGTTACTTAAATCAAAATTTCAGTAAAATTGTTTTAAAAGGCTACTCCTCCTACAGTTTTAGTCTGATATAATAAATCTTGCCAAAAAGAGACTAAACCAAGGATCATTATTCTATTTATTGCTGTTGCAAAGTTTCAAGTCCAAGTGCTACTTTTATCTTCCTTTATAAATACAACCAGTAGAGCTACAGTCTCATCAGAGACTTCTGGTTTTGCTTTGTTGTAGATAAAATGCTTATCATCTTTTATCAGATTATCCCCCCTCCCCTTAAGTACTACATGTGTAACCAGTAAAGCAGTCTTAACAGAAACTTCTGGTTGGTGTGTTTTTTGATATTCATGACTTACAGATGATATTGTTGACTTTAAGGTTAAGTTCGCGTTTCGTGTTGATTGTCCCATTTTTATAAAAATTATAGCCATTCAAAAATTCGAATTATTCACTGTCTTTGGAATGTTTTCATTACTTTGCTGGTAAGTAATCGCTATTTCACGCAGTCTTAGTGTGTTTGATATCAACTGATTTCATAAAATTAAAGCAGCAATATGTTTTTTTTAATATTTTGCTGATTCCATCCATTTTTTACACTCTTTGCTTATTTAAAACTTGCATCTCAGCTGGGACGTTTATGTCTCCTCTTACATTTAGTTTAATGTAATCAAATTAAAAAGTGAAACTCTTAAATATAAGAAAGAATATAGTGCTACAACTTGTATATCTTTTTCACTATTAAAAAGTCTTAGGAAGATGTTAACATCGGATTTTAATGGGTTTTTTTTAATTCAGTGTTTACCAAGTTGCTTAACACATTGTGTAGTAAGTATTTCATATAATTCAAAGGCCAGTATGAGCAGAATGTGTGTGACCCTAACATCACAAGTTGTGCCCCATGTGTAGAGCGTTTGCCTAGTTGTGTTGGTCTACCTAATGGCAGAAACTACAGGCCAGGGCACCAATGGACAGCAGATTACATTGTCTGCTACAAGAACAGGACCATTGATATTAACAAATGCCCTGGAATTCACCAGTATTTTCATCCTGTTCAAAAGAAATGCACGACAGATGTAGCCAAGGGTGAACTTTTAAATATGACTGCTTGTTTGTGCTTTCATCTGTTCAATTGATTGTTTCTGCATTGAATATAAACTATATGTAGATTTTTCTTTTCATCAGGAGATGTAGACAATTTCTGCCGGTCAAATCCTACTGCTGTGATGAAAAGCTTTGATAACTGTGCACAGTATATCAATTGCACATCAAAAAACTCAAAATTGGGAAATTACAGACATGAATGTGTATATCCAGATTTATTCTCAGATGTTACGTTCCAATGTGAGAAATTCCAAAGTGTTGTGTGTAAGAACAGAACTGAACCACAAGCACCTTGTAAGATTTTTGTGTTCCTTTAAGTAAATTAAGAGCATAGCGATAAGTAGCTGCAGATCTGTAGCTCGCTGACCGTCTGAAATAATTGGGATGGACGACCAGAGAGTTAGTGCCACCCATTAAAAAAGGTGTGTATTTACTGCGCACAAAAAGAGCGCTGTTTCTCGATTTATTTCTCAGTATATATATAAATATTACTCACTGTGTGTTCCTGAAATATTCTTTCATTACTTCCACAACAAAACTGTATGAACAAGTCATGTACGAAGCGCGTTGGACCGAATTGTCTTGTCAAACAAGATGGCCGTATAAAGGATGACGTGCCAAAACTACTGTTTTGGGCCCCTTTTTCTACGACGAATTATATTTATTCTACAAGGATTTTGATTGTTTTCAAACAAGAGTGAATAAATACGACGCCTTTTGAATACTTTCAATACTTCCGACACATTATAATTATGAGGATTATTGCATTATCTATGATTTTTTAGACCCCATTACAGCAAAATTCAGCCTGGTTTGTGACAATGTGTTCTATTATGAATAGAGAATAGACGTGTCTTAGTACAGTAGAGGGATATGCAAGTCCGAGAAATATACCTTATATGGCTATTGTTATCATTTCGCCCACAGTCCCTTACAGAGAACAACTGTCCAATCCGATGACTGAACGACAAAACGTGCAAGTTAACTACTGTTTACATTTTATCACACACACGTGGTTTAGGTCAATTGACACATTATCTCTATACTTTTAAAAACTTTTAATGGTCAGCAAAGGCTTTTTTAATGCATGATAATATATATGGAACTTCAGCGTATATCGCTTTGGGCCAAGGAATGCACATGAAACTAGTATTAACTGATACTCGGGAATATAGATGTACCCAATTGACCACAAAACGCCTTACAAAACTATGAAATTATACAATGTAAGTTTAAAAATCAATTCTGTGTAATTATGAGCAAGGAAATTGGTGATTCGCGTCTAATCTGTGACTGAAATGCATAAAAGAAATGTCAATCGGCAAACTAGTAAAAAAATGACTTTTTTTTTTCAAGCATAAAATTGTGGTACTCACTCGTAATGCAACTCATTTAGCTGATTGGTCGGTTAGAAAGTCACGCCGGTGCCTCAATTAGCATATGAATTTATTCTTACGTCAGAAAAAATAGTTTCGTCGACCTGTTCATAATGAAAGCAAGCTAGATTTTACAATTTTTTAAACAAAACATGTGAGCGCAGTTGAGAACATTTTTCTCCTTTCACATATAGGTCGATTTCAATAAAATACAGTGACCAGCCAAAGGAGAAAAAATGTACCCACTTGCGGTCGTATATTTTAAAGGCTTCAAAGAGTCAAATTCAATGGGAATTGGATGTAAACACGGTACCCCTACTCAAAATAAAGACATATATCTTCCAAATAATAATGTTTCTATTTTCGGTAAAGTTGTCTTCTAGGAGGGTACACATATCAGTGTTTAAGTTCATGCAAATATTAGAGTATTTTTAATATATTTAGATTTTTGTCAATATACCGGCGGCACATCATCCTTTGCGAAATTTTCGATGGTCTTAATTTCAAGCCAAGGAGGGCTATTTACAAGGTTTGGGAGAATGTTTATTGTGGAAGTAGTAAAAAAAATATGTTAGGAACACACAGTTGTTATATATTGAGATGGTAGTTTAATTAAACGGAGAAATAAAACGAGAAACAGCGCATTTTCTTGTGCGCAATAAATACACACTTTTTAATGGGTGGCACTGTAGCTCTCTGGTCGTCTATCCCAATTTTTTAGACCATCGAGCTACAGATCTGCATCTAAGCGATAAGATGCATTAATTATTGAGGGTGTGTCTACAATGCAGAATCTTAAATGAATCACTTTTTGATAGGTCAATATGAGCAAAACATATGTTCACTTGGTGATATGTCGTGTAAACCTTGTTCTGAGAGACTGCCAAGCTGTGTGGGAAGGAATGATGGAGCGCAGTCTTTCTTTGGCAAGGAATGGTCTAGTTCTTATGTCACCTGTCTTCAGAACAGAACAATTGATATTCACCACTGTACACAGACTGCCATATTTAATCCCAAAACACATCAATGTGTCAACAAAATTGATCAGAGTAAGATTTTTTATTATACCATGGTCAAAGACTCAAATGTACTTTTCTGATCAAAATGTGTCTCTTGTCTGTCCTCGTTCTCATTATTTTGGTAGTTGTGTATTGTAAACTTTAAACAATTTTATTTTCCTCAAAACCACGCGCTAAAATAAAACAAACTTTCAAAAAAGTATCCCTGAGTAAAAAAAAAAGTATTCAAGTCTGTTCAAATAAAGATCCATAGGCTTTTAAAGTGGAGATAATCAAGAATAGTCAATAAATAGGTTACTAGGGTTTATTTAAAAATTTTCTCAATAACCCTTGGCTAAAAAATGTAACTTGAATGAAAGCTTCTTGACATAGTGAAGATTCAAATTCATTCAAATCATGACCGTAAAACAATTTCTATCAAAATTTTTCTTCATCAGTGTGTTTAAATGGGAGTTTTGAAAAAAAAAATTAAGAATTCATTGCTGAACAAGATTTTCAAAGATATAACTTTGATTCCATACTGCAGCGCAACTCTACCCTAAATGGCCACAAATCAAACAAATATAAATCTTTCTTACCAGAGGATGCTCATATATTTAAACTATTTTTGGCCCTTGATGCCTGAATATTTAAACTTTTTTGGCCCTGTTGCTCTTGAGGAGGTTTTAAGAGCTTGCGTCATATCATATTAATTGTAAGGCCTTTGTTTTTACACTTAATTTGACAACGGAATGTTTCGTTTACTTAATACATAAGGCACACGGCGGGTGTGACCGGTCAACTGTGGATGCTTACTCTTCCTAAGCACCTGATCCCACCTCTGGAATTTCCAGGGGTCCGTGTTTATGCCTTCTTTACATTTTTGTATTGTTTGTATATTTTTTGAGACCGATCACTGTTCGTTATCTTCATCCTTTTCATTATTACTATATAAAACTTTGTTTCCCCATTGTGGCCCCATCTTATACCCAGAGGGTCACCTGAATCTTGCAGTTTTTTTATTGCTACCTTTTTTGTCCGTCGTCTATTTTGAATTGATCGTCGTGCATCTTCCATATATCGTTTACATTTTTTCAACTTCTTCCTAAAAACAACCAATCCAATTTTAATCAGTTTTGGAATAGAGCATCTATGGGCATATTGAGGCAAAAATTGTGAATTCATGGTATTTGCCTCCCCCTCGTTGCCTGAGGGATGAGGAATAACCTAATTGATGCAATTTAAACAAAATTCTTCTTCTTTACTCTTGGACGTCAAGCAGTTAAACTGATAGCTTGATTTCAGAAGCAATGAATCCTTTGTCAAGATTGTGAAGAGCATGTCTGTAACGCCAGAGGCTCTGGAGTAAGTGTGTGGATCAAATAATCATATATTGGATATGCATAAATTCTTTTTAAAGTTTTATTTCTTCTCCCCTGTATATTAAGCAGACAAGCTAAGTGCATGGTTATAATGGGCAAGTGTGCCTTTTCCAAATTTTTTAAATTCAAGGCCTGTGGTAAGGGGTGCTGGTGTTATATTATCCATCGATAATACGTAGTTACATGTAAATGCATTTCTTCTCTGCTCCTGGAATTTGATTAAACATAGAGCAGAGCCTGGATTAGCAAGGATGCATCTTCCAAAATTTGAAACTTATGGCTCTTATAGGCTTCTCGTGTTAGGGCGAGGCTCTATCCATATTTTCGAATATGACTGTGATTGTCTAATAGATGTACACGGAAATAAAGAATTTTGAATTAATATTCACCCTGAGGGACTACTAGGTCGAAAAACATTTTTTTTTTAGGTCACCTGAGTCACTCAGGTGACCTATTGCTATCCGTTCTCGTCCGTCGGCGTGAGGTGTGCGTCGTGTGTTAACATTTGAACATTTTTAGCTTCTTCTCTGAAACCGCTTAACCAATTTCAACCAATTTTGGCATATAGCATCTATGGGTAGAGGGGAACAAAAATTATGAATTTCATGATCCCTGCCTCCTGGGGCCTGAGGGATGGGGCTAAAACCACCAAAAATAATGCAATCTTTAAAAATCTCTCCTTTACTCCTGGACATCAAGCAGTCAAACTGTTGGCATGATTGTAATAAGTATTGAAGCTCTCTACCAAAATTGTGAAATTCATGGCCCCAGGGTCAGGGGTTCTGGTGCTAGGGTGGGGCTATATAGATCATATAGTGAAAGTGCATTATTTCTTTGAAAATCTTCTTGTCTGCTCCTGGGTATTTAATAAACTAAGTACCTAGTTATGATGAGCAAGAGTGCCTCTTCCAAAATTGTGAATTTCATGGCCCAAGGGTCAGGGGTTCTGGTGTTAGGGTGGGGCTCTATTGAATATATAGTGAAAATGCATTAATGTTTTGAAAATCTTCTTCTCTGCTCCTGGATATTAAATTAACTTGGTACATCGTTATGATGAGCAAGAGTGCCTCTTCCAAAATTGAGAATTTCATGGCCCCGGGGTCAGGGGTTGTGGTGTTAGGGTGGGGCTCTATTGATTATATAAAGAAAAGGCATGAATTCTTTCAAAATCATCTTCTCTGGGTATTTTTCAAACAAAGGAAGTGCATGGTTATGATAAAGAAGAATGCTTCTTCCAAAATTGTGAATTTCATGGCCCCTGGGTCAGGGGTTCGGGGGGGGGGGAGAGAGAGAGAGAGAGAGAGCTCTATTGATTATATAGAGAAAATGCATAATTTCTTTCAAAATATTTTTCTACTACTGGTTATAAAGTAAAGAAAGAAGTGTATAGTTATGATGAGAAAGGGTGCTTCTTCCAGAATTGTGAGTTCGTGGCCAATGGGTCAGATGTTCTGGTGTAAGGATGGGGCTTTATTTATTTAATAATACGGCGAAAATGCATTTCTTTGAAAATCTTCTATGCTTCTGGGATGTTCAAGGCAAACAGAGTAAAAGTTTTAATATGCAAGGGTATTTTTACCAGAATTTTGAACACCTGGACCATTTAGTCAAGTGTTCTGGTCCTGGCCAGGGCTCTATTAACTTGTATTCTGCTGAGCAAAGTTATTCCCCTTTGCCATTCACCTTTGATAATCAATCAATGTAAATAATGTATTTGAAAGCTTTATAGAATAAGGGAATTATGCAAGAAAATTTATTGTATAATATAAAAAGTACTTTCATAGTTTTAATGACTTGGAAATAATAGATGAATAAAAATGAGACAAAAATAACTTATCTTTTTAAATGTTCTTCAAAGTCCAAGAGAGGCCATTGTGAGAAGTAATAATATGGGGTTAAATAATAGACATTTTGTTAATAGTCTGCATGGGAATAGTGGTAAATTGGGGGGGGGGGGATAGATACTAGACCAATTATTTTGTTGATGCTAATCATACTATTTTTCTTGCTTTTGGGCAACAAAGCTTCAGTTTTCAGTTTATGGATCCTCTAAATTGTTGTATTGTACTCAGGTGACCGTTAAGGCCCTTGGGCCTCTTGTTACAAAAACTGGTTCCCAGAACTCCTACATTTTTCAGGCGATTAATTATAAGTCACTCAGGTGACTTAATGAACATTGTCAGCTTCTTCTCTAAAACTGCCGAACCAAATTAAACCAATTTTGGCATGGCTCAGCTATGCATAAATAGAACACGAATTATGAATTTTATGAAACCTGTTTCCCCCTTGCACCCTAGGGCAGGGCCTAAAACCATCATAATTAGTGCTATTCTTAGAATTCTACTTCTTAACCCTTGACATTTGTTGACATGATTGTAATAAGCATGAGCCCTCTACCGAAATTGTGAAGTTCATGACCCAAGGATTAGGGGTTCTGGAATTAGATTTTGCTCTAATAATTATGCAGTGAAAATGCAACCCTTCTCTAAAATTCTTTTTCTCCCCCTGTATATACATGTAAAGCAGATAATTCAGTGCTTAGTACGTAAATGATGATCTTTGGTACCTCTTCGAAAACTGAAAATTTTTGGTCCCAGAGTGAGAGGAGGGGTCTCTATTGATTATATAGTGGAAATGCATCAAGATTTTGAAAAAAAAAAACCTTCTCTGCTACTGCGCTTTAAGCAAACAAACCAAGTACATTGTTATGAATAGCAGGAGTGCCTCTTCCACAATTGTGAATTTTGGCCCCTGGGAGGAGATTCTGGTGCTAGAACGGGGCTCCATTGATTATATAGTGAAAATGGATTAATTCCTTGAAAATCTTCTATGCTCCTAGGTATTTAGCAGCTAAATTAATTGATTTGTTTGGATGATAAAGTTTACCTCTTCCAAAACAGGAAATTTGTAGCCCAAGGGCAGGGGTTCAGGTTTGGTAGAGGGTGGAATTGTTGCATATATAGTGAAAATGCTCTATTTCTTTGAAAATCTTATTCTCTGATCCAGGGTGTTTTGCAAATTAAACTAAGTACAATGGCTGCAACGTTATTGTTAACAAACCAATCGCGTAGAATCCTTCGTGTAACATGCGTGATCGTTAGTATAACGTGAGAGATCGTGCGTGTATCAAGCTCAGTCGTTTGCGGTTTTAATAGTGCGTGATTGTGCGGTAAGAAATGTGCAAATTTCGTTTTGTTAGTCTTTATCGAAATGTAATTTGTTCAACAAGCATTTCGCTTTTCTGTTTTTTCTAAATTGAAATAAAAGAAATGTAGCGCGATTCACATACTAATTGAACGAATTAATGAGTGTTGGTAAAATTGGTAGGCAAACCCGGGCCAGGGCAAATTAAGAACCGGCGCAGTTCCGAGATTTTTCAATTTTCTGTCTTCAAACTTTATCAATCGAGCTGAAATTTTCAGAATATGTTTGTTATAGGTTTATTCATATTCGCTGTAAAAATTGTTGAGAAGTACTCAGCATTTTAGATTTTCTCGGCGATTGTTGATTTCCAAGTTTGTAATTTTGGTAGGCAGTACGAAGCCGACATTTTACGATTTCTTTTTTTTCATATTTGACAAAAAGCTAATAAACCTATGAATTATTCTGATGTTTCACTGTTTTATAATTATTTCTTCCTTGAAATGTGTTTTTGTTGAGTAAAAAAATTGTTTTAAGAAAAATCGGGTCATTAAAACCGGATCCGACCACCTGGGGCAAGCGTGAAAAATCCGAATTACTTGTTCATTATCTATCACCTGAAAAAATATAACTCCATTCAAGTTACATGTATTTATTGAATGTTTGTATTTCAATGTTATTGATATTTGAAATATTTAAAGAATTACCACATAATTATATGAATATTAATGCAAGACCTTGTGCCACTTTAATCACACAAGAGCTGCTTGGGGTAAGGAAAATGGCTTATTATGTTAATTATAATTACCTTGGGAAGAGGAATCTAGACAGAAAATTGTTGAGATTTACTAATATTTAAATACTTCCTTGTGGTAAGAGCTGGGCAATATGCCAAAAAGTGATCGCTAACATCCCCAGAACGCCCTGTGAAACAAACATTTCGGCATTTTGGGGTTTGTCCCAGGTGATCGGATCTGGTTTTAATGATTCGGTTTTTATGAAAATGTGTATCTTTGCATAAAAGTAGCAATTTCTAATAAAGAAATAGCTATTTCTAGTTAATACACATGTTTTACATCAGAATAATTCAAAAAATTATTTGGTTATTGTCACATTTGTCAAAAACACATAAAACATCGTCTTGATACTGCCTACCCATTTAACCAACTTGGAAATCAATAATTGCCGAGAAAATCTAAAATACTGAGTATGTCAAGGTAATTTTTACAGCGAATACAAATAAACCCTCAACAAACATACTCTGAAAATTTCAGCTCGATTGATTAAGTTCTAGGACAGAAAATTGAAAAAATCTCGAAACTTACTGCCCACCTATATCATCTGATATGACCTGCAGCAATAGATAATAAATTACACCCTTACGTGTCGAAAAGATACCAAAAAAATTTCAATTTTTCCTAAGTTGAAGAATTACATAAATAATTATTTGTAAACTAAAATAACTATTGTCTCATTTAGTTTCAAAAATAACCACTTCTAATTTTTTTTCTTCAGTTTTTCAAAGTCGATAAATTGCATCAATAATTTTTTGTAATCTAAAATAACTGTATTAAGCCTTATATCGTTTTGAAAAGATCCACTCCTAAATATTTTCAACTATTTTGTGTGATGAATCGCACCTTTGCGCTAGCAATCGTGAAAGATCGTGTAATGTGAAGAATCGTGTGCGTGAAGGATCGTTCGTGTAACAGGTTTAATTGTGCGGAATCGTTCGTGTAACGTAATCGTTCCTGTATGTTGTCCACAATAACGTAGCAGCCACTGTACCAAGTTATATGATTAGCGGAGGTGTCTCTTCCAAAATTGTGAATTCCATTGCCCCTGGGTCAAGGATTCTAGTGTTAGGATGGGGCTCTATTGATTATATTGTAAAACTGCATTGTTTCAGCCACTATTGAAATATTTATTTCATTAGTGGTTGAGATTGCATTTCAAAACCAAACACAGGCTGCAACAACTTTTGAAATAACGTTCACTATTGAAATTATTATTTCATTAGTGGTTGAGAGTGCATTTCAAAACGAAACACATGTTGTAACCACTATTGAAATGACGCCAACTATTTAAATAATTATTTCAATAGTGAATGTTATTTAAATAATGTTAAATAATGGTTGCAGCCTGATTTCGGTTTTAAAATGCATTTTTTACCACTATTGAAATAATTTCTTCGGTAGCAAAGGTTGTTTCAATAGTGGCTGCAACACTGCATTAATTTATTAACAGGAATAGATATGGGTTACCCAAATACCAAATATATTAAAAATCTTCTCTTCTATACTTCTAGGTATTTAACAGATAGACTAATTGCATTGTAAGAATGCCCCTTCCAAAACTGTGCAGCTTATAGACCCAGGGCTATATAGTGAAATGCATTATTGTGAGATATAGTGAAATGCATTATTTCTCTGAAAATCTCTGATCGGGGGTATTTTGCAGATAAACAAAGTGCCAAGTTACGATGAGCAATTGTGCGTCTTCCGAAAGATAAATGGCCTTTGGGTCTGGAGTTTGGGAATAACGTCGGAACTCTATTAATTCAAATGTTGAAATCTATTGATTCAAATGCTGAAATTGTTCACTCATTAGCACACAAAATGAAAAGCTAAAATGCATTAATACCTTTAAAAAATTCATCTCAGCCCCTGGGTTTTTAGAAGATAAACTTAAGGTAGGTCCCTACTCGCTGAATTAATGTGTTAACAGTGCAATTTTTGTCCTGATAAATTTACATTAAAAAATACTTTATCTACTTTAAAAGCACAATAAATAGATCATCTATGTTTTTACTGAGATAGGGTATGAAACACTCATGTACCCTCTTGTACCAAAAACAAAATCACGACTGGTATAAAGACGGTCTATATTTTATGTCATTGACCATGGCAAATAAATTCTATTGAACATAAATCACAAGAATAAGGATAAATTTGAATAATTACAGGCTACAGTACACATTACTGGTTAAACTAGGAAAATATCATTTTATTAATAAAGTAACAAAGCTCAAAACTCAAATAAAGCTCCCTATTAGGATAATTAATATGTTTACCCTGAATTTTTTGCCTTGCTTTGTAGCAACCGATGCTTGGAGTATCTGTTAGGCACAATAAATGCATTGGTCATCTGCCTTTTCACCGAGATATGGGGTAAAACATACAGGTACCACCATCGCAGTTCAATAGCATAAGCCTTAATGTTGACAAAAACATTTATAAATCAACAAAAATGGGAAATATTCTTCTTTAGGAACAATTTTATCAACAATTACACACCCTTTCCTAAACACAAACATGAAATTTTATTCATATTTTAATCCTTAATATATTATATACAGAGAGCATGTCCACTACTATTGAACCGACTTTCCTGGATGTCTATTACTACTTACAAAAGATGATAAGCAAGAGATACAATGTCTTTCATGCAAAATTATGTCTTAAAATTTCAAATACATGTACCTCATTAGTAGCCTGTGTTGACTTTTTATTATAACTAAGTACCTTGAGTCCGTTCGTATATAAAAAAAATTCATCATCAAAAAGACAGTGGGAAAATTGTGCACAAATGATAGCAATTAACGAAAAGTTTTATTTAATGACATAAGGGCAAATTATTTGCCACGTTTTCTGTAAATAGGTTTCAGAATTATTCAAGTTGTACCAATGCAATCATAAAAGTATGGTATCAATATAACCTCCTGTTAACTAGGCATAAATATACTGTATCTGAAATGTCCGGCATTTGACCTCGCACTTGTGTTTAAATCGATTCAATTTTCTGCTACATACTGTATGAGTTTGAATTCTTGCATGAAAATACCCTCGTTCATCTTTATACACCCTCCAACATATCTGCAGACATTGTTTACGTTATGTACCGTAATTTTAAAACCCAAAATTTCTAAAACTTCCGGTTTACCACGAGTAGGCCCCTACTTAATGCATGGTTAGGATTGATTGATTGAATGTTGTTTTACGTCCAATGCGAGAATTTTCACTCATATAGAGTCCTCACCGTATACCAATGAAGGGCTTCAAATTTAGACCTATACTCGGCACTCAGGGCCATTGAGCAGTGAGGTTTCTTTATCGTGCCACTGCCTACTGTGACACGTGACCTCGATTTTTAAGGTCTCATCTGAAAGACTCGTGACTTTCACTTCTAGGGCCGGGCGCTTGTCGAAGGCACTTCACTACCTATATTTACATCAGGTTTGACGCGGCGAGAATCGAACTTGAGCCTCCCGATCACGAAGCAAACGCCCTACCATTAGACTACCGTGAGCGGTGTATTGTTAGAACGATAAAGAGCTCCTCTTTCAAAATTTTGACATAAGTGGCCTCAGGGTCAGGGGTTCTCTCTCTCTTTCTCTGTGTTTGCGAGGGTGTGTGTGTGAGGGTGGGTGGGTGGTTTGGGAGTGACTTGATTTTATCATGAAGCAATTTTTTCTCTGAAATCCTCTTCTCTGCTTCTGGGTATGAAACAATCATATTTTATAGTTAAGGTGAGCAAAGCTGTCTTTACAAAAATTGTGAATTTTATGGACCCGGGTAAGGGTTCTGGTGTAAGGGCAGGGCTCAATTGATTATATAGTGAAAATACATTATTCTTTCAAAACTTCTTTTTTGTTCCTAAATATTTAACAGATTAACTTGCATATTTATTATGAACAAAGATGCCCAAAGGCACTGGGACAAGCGTTCATGTAGTGGTGGTGATGGTTGGGGGGGGGGGGGGGGGGCAGTGTTGTTGAATGTGAAGTGATTGCGTTATTATCCCCTCGCGACGGAGTTGGAGGGAATATAGTAACGCGCTTGTGGGTGTGTGTGTGATGTGCGAAACGGAAGTGACGTAATTTGCATCGGGATCGATGTCAAATACTGTCTTGATTTCAAGATATGTTTTTTGCGAGGGAGTGCTCCGCTTTTACCGTGCCCTATTTCATCTGTGACAGACTAATTGCATGGTTATGTTTAGCAAGGATGCCTTTTCAGAAAGTTTGAAATTCATAACCCCCGAGTCAGGTGGTTTGGGGTGGGGCTCTTTTGAATATGCAATGTATAGTATACTCGATTACTCCTATCAGTATAGAAATATTATGGTTTCTTCCCTTGTAGCCAAAATATGAAGGTGAGAGTGCATTTAGAGGCAAATACCTAAGTACAGGTATAACTGTCTTATGACAGCTTCTATTTTTCTGTTTTTGTTTAACGTTCCTTTTAGAATTTTTCACTCATATTGAGCTGCCACCGCTTGCAGAAGAAGGGCTGCATATTTAGACCTGTACTAAAATTTTAAAAAATTGGGGGTAGGGGGTTACTATCATTATGGTTTCAATTTTCCTAAAGAAGTCTACTTTTGAAGCATAGGTTCTTGTTATATTCTATCAACATAAGTCTGTAAGCATTTTACCTAACTGTGTAACTTTGTTTTTTTTTTAATCTAGGTAACATTGATGCCTTCTGTAAAGCCAATCCTCGAGCTATTAAACCTCATCCTACAAACTGTGCCCAGTATGTAAATTGTTCACTCATTAGCACACAATATGGAAAGCATATACAAGAATGTATTTATCCAGACCTGTTCTCTGTGACCACACTGAGATGTCAGCAGTTTGAGTCTGTAACATGTACTCCAAAAAATGAACCACAGGCTCCTTGTAAGTATATATACATGGTATCTTCATGCTATATACATGAAGTTCCTTATAAACTCATCGCTATAAATGCATGTTTTTTAAATTAAAAATCACCTCAAAATATGATTTTTCACACAATGCATTATCAAAATGATCATGAAATGCTTCGATAAAAAAGATATATTCTGACTTGGGATTAGGAATATATTCTTGTCTAGATGTCTACTCAAAATCGGTATTTTTATATGAATAACCTTCAGTAATTGTTGCCATTATGTATACAGCAGGAAACGCAAAAAAAAAAACATAATGAAGTCTCCCTCCTAAAAAACCCGATTATTTTCATTTTTTTCTACCAATAACAAATTTAAAAATTGGCATACACAAAGCTCTTTGTGTTTTTTTTAGCTCTTCTGAGACAAAGGCTCAACGAGCTATTGCTCTGGCCATTTGTGCGGTGTGCGTAAACTTTTTTTAAAAATGGGCCATATCTCACGAACTCCTAAGTCATTTTTTTTCAAATTTGTCAAAGAATATTCATGGCCCAAAGGAAATCTAATTAAAATTAGATGTTCCGAATCCGCTACCGCTTCTCAAACATCTAACAACATCCCATTTGGGGTCACGTCAGAGCGACCTTTCGATTACCCAATGAAATCGCCGTCTCTGAAATCTTGGCTTATAGTTCGGATGCGTTTCTTTTTTTACTGCCAAACCTAAACGCCCGAGGGGTTTCGTAGTAAACAAAATATGCATGGTAAAGACCGTGCTATATATGAATGTGACGTGCGGGATGAATAGACGTATACATGTAATTAATGCATTTTCGTTTGCATTATTTAGGTAAGAATGCCAGATTGGCGGACTATAGGTTCAATTTATACCAAAATTACTTTAACATCTGTTTAATTCAACGTAAGACAGTCTAATGATGTAAAGATGTAGCCGTGGAACTACTGTATAGGGGATTAATTTCACGGGTTGTAATTTTCACGTTTTTCTCCCCTCGGACACGATCGCGGTTTGTTGAATTCGCGGAATCGGTATATCATAAAAGTTACCTCCTTTGTCTTTATCAGTGTAACCCATAGTAAAGCTAGAACGACATTTATCAGCGTTAGGTATTCACTTCACGAACAGGGTAGGTTTATATAAAATGATTAGGTTTAGTAGTTAATTGATGATTAATCAAAACATTTTTTACTATAAACGTCAAATGACTTTCCTATAAGTGCATGTGTACGTACATCTTTCCGAAGGTATAACACATCGCAGCAAAAAAAAAAAAAAAAAAAAAAAAAAAAAAAAACACTGGATGCTAATCAATGTATTAATGTAGGTAGACGTAATGATATCCTTCCATATCTTCAGCAAGTTCGATAGTTATTCGAATAATATTTTTTAAACCAAAATTTCCATAAAAACTAATACGCATAATGCTAATGCAGGTAACAAATACACGTGGTAACGTTACGCACGGGTAATCAAAACCGATGACCCATGCGTTTTGACTGATGAAACATGTATCTATTAAAACAGCTGTTGAAGAATAAATACAGGTAATTAGCTGCTTATTTGAATTAAAGTAAAGCGTGATAATTAAGATAATTGAATGACAAATACTATACTCGTAATTACTGAATGATCATGTACTGTACGTATATATACCTATAGTAGTCTATTCTCAAATTTCCAAATAAAACATCGAGATTTAATATTTAAAACTTATTCACTGTTTCTTGAATTCACGGATTTATTAACACCGTGAATATAGCGAATATTAACACCGCGAGTTATTTTCCCCCTATACAGTAATTTTAGAATCGTATACAGAAGGTTGAATCTGATTGGCCAAAATTTTTATGTTTATTTATAATCGAAAGGTCGCTCTGACGTGACCCCGAATGGGATGTTGTTAGATGTTTGAGAAGCGATAGTGGATTCGGAACATCTAATTTTAATTAGATTGGGCCCAAAGGCTTTCATTTGTACTAAAACAGGGATGTGTCCCTTAAACAAAGGGAGATAATTAGGGAAATAAAAACAAAAGTAGTGGTTGCTAAAAACTCTTATTCTCAAGAACCATCGGGCAGATTATCACCAAACTTATACACAAGATCGCGGGACAAATGGCGTGGTCTCAATGTCACTTCAAAGTTGACCAAAAAATTATGTTTTGTAAAAACTTTGATATTTTGCCCAATATAAGGCTTAGGATCATAAAATCTTGTCAGTTGATGTATCTTTGGACTTCGTTTCATGTTGACTGAAAAGTAGGTGACCTATTTTTTGATTTTGCAGGTATTCATTTTCAGTTTAACTTTGCTGCATAAATTGGATACCGTGAAGCCTATGATCATCAAAACTTGCCACTTTATGCATCATGTGACCTTAAAGTGTGTCAATAAAAAATGATCACCCTGACCTACTTTCTGAATATTATGGCTAATCATTTTCTTAACAATAAAGGTAATTATTTCGGATACTAAGAGGTTTAGAATTACCAAACCTTGTAAGTTAATGCACCTTGGGGCCTTAAAACTTGTTTATCAAAAATAGGTCCCAGTGACTACTTTTTGAATTCATTTTCAAATTGTTTTAGAGGCATATTTTAAAACTTTGAAGCATAGGATCATCAAACTCTGTCAGTTTATGCATCTTGAGTTCTCGAAGTGTATCAACCAAAAAGTAGGTCACCATGACCTATTTTTGCAATTTCATGGCTTAATTTAAATATTTCAGATACTAATTGGCTTGGAATTATCAAACTTTGTCAATTGATGCATCTTGGGTCCCCGGAGTGTGTCAACCAAAAAGTAGAATACTGTGACTAACTTTTGGAGTTCCATAGCTATATTTCAGTACTACAGATACTAATTAGCTTAGAATCATCAAACGTTGTCAGTTGATGCATCATGGGTCTTCAAAGTGTGTCAACCAAAAAATAGGTCACCAAGACCTACTTAAACAATTTCAAGGCTATTTCAGATATCAATTGGGTTTGAATAATCAAGTTTTGTCAAGTTGATGCATTTTGGGTCCTTGGAGTGTGTCAACCAATAGGTAGGTCACCGTGACCTACTTTTGGAAATTTATGGCTTTTTCAGTTACTAATTGGCTTAGAATCATCAAACTGTTGATGCCTCTCGAGTCCTCGGAGTGTATCACCATGACCTACTTTTGCAATTTCATGGGTTAATTTAAATATTTCAGATACTAATTGGCTTGGAATTAAGAAACTTTGTCAGTTGATGTCTGAAAAAGTATGTCTGACCTACGTTATGAATTTCAAGGCTTTATCCTAATATATATATATAGTAACCAAGTGGCTTAAAACAGATGGAATAGGTGGTACAATTTCTCAGAAGAGCGATTCTAGGCCCTTGGGCCTCTTGTTTTTTTTTTGTTGTTTTTTTTTTAAATATTTTCTCTCAGTAAAACGAAGCAGTAATGTTATTGGTGTAACACTGATGACGCATGCTAGAATTACCAAAACATGATGGGAGCAATTGATTTCATAGACAATTGCCAAACCCTGATCAAAAACCTTACTATCTTTAAACCGTGCTCTCTGTGTATGACGTTGAGCTTTAATCCAGACGTTCAGGTTGCCGTCATTTTTTGTTGTTCTACCAAACGCATTTACATCGTATAAATTGTATATGTCCAGCCATTGAACTTCTTTAGCCTGGTATAAACTAGTGTCAAGACGTATTTGTGTCGTTCTATCACTCCATCTCTTTTTCCCGTGTGGACATGTCCGCGTTAGCGCTTCATGAAAAATATGACATCGTGCAAGTCTGTGTGATTTACACACCAATACTCACTGTTAACATAAAAACAATTCTTACAGTTATATTTGACATGTTTAAAATCAACAAAAATATACTCAATGTTTGAATTTCTCACTGCCCTATATCGTTATATTTTTTTTATCTTCTCTGTAGCCTCAGTTTGGCATCACTTAAGCGCGAGTTTCTCCACTTATATTTCTACGCGTGGGTATACACGAAAATTGTATTCAAATCAATTTCACAGTTGGCTTACTAGAAAAACAGGAAATGTAAATATTCGATTATATATAACAACGCCCGAGGGAAACATGGTTTTTCATGGTTCCCAAACATTAATGGATAAATTGTTAATCATACCGAATCAAGCACGAGCAAAAAAACATTCGTATATGACAAGTATTTGTGATTTTTACACTAGTAACATTAAAGCTGAACACGACTCGTAAATAGGCATACGCCATTTTCGATATTACTATCTAAGATATCAGCACCAAGGTATACTCTTCGCATTCGTTACACCTGACTGCTTTATTGTCACGGGTATCGGCGTGGAATGGCGACCCGTGTTCGTGCTGGCTATTAGGTCTTTCCACCTTTCTGTGGTGTAGAGGTATGGAGTCAATTGCAATGTTACCCTTGACCTTTGACCTTGAACATTTAATGAAGGTCAAAGGTCAAGGTCATTTCAAAATTATTAACATTTTCATTTTTTTCCATCTTTCAAACAATTTCTATAAAAATAAAAATTAACTTTAAATAAAAATTGCATAAAAATTAACTTTAGAGAGTAAAATATAGAAAATTTAAGAAATTTAAAGAAGGTGGAAAGACCTCTAATTGTTCAAGAACAATTAGTCTACTAGTTTTGCATTACTTTTGTTTACATTTTATTGCAGTTAGTAAATATATATTTGTGTTTGTTTGTATACTGCACTGACCTGTGCAACTGTTGTAAATCTCTTTCAATTGCATGGTATCTTACTCTCCTGCATTAGAAGAAGCACACAGTTATTTTCGTCGCTACTAAGTGCTGTATAGCATACGTCCGTCTACACCGGTGACGATTACACTAAACAGTGACCAAGTGAGCGGCTCTATATATATATATATATATATATATATATATATATATATATATATATATATATATATATATATATATAGGGGCTCCCAGATATAACAAAAGTCCTTTCGAATATGGCGGACAGATTCTTTTTACGAAGCATGTTCAGCTTTAAATATCACCCATAAGAAACACAGTTCTAAAGTTTTTCATTTTACACGTATGAATCGGCACAATCAATCAACGATATGAAAAATCTAACTCAGTAGTTGCCATCCCAGTTGCATCAGTTTCACTTAAGAGCAATTCCGCAAGAAAACCTTCAAAAAATCGTCCAAATGGAAGGTTGTAACATAGGATGTTGTAGCGGCTTAAAATTTTCTTCATAAAAGTAGGTCATAAAAATTGTCGATCCTCGCATCTATTTTTAGTAACAGCTCATTTGCATATTTGTCGAAAATCACACTGAATTATACGGAAAAATCACACAAGCTGATTTATTTAAAAAGCGACCTTTTGTCATCAGTTTTAATTTTGTTTTCTTTTCAAAATCATGGTCTTATTTATACAATTAATGAAGAAAAACGTAATTCAACTCAATGTTTTATTTTTTAAAGGTCTATTTATAGATCCTAAATCAATGAGTATGATTTTTTTAGCCATTTTTAGACGCTATTTTCTCTCAAGACAAAGTAAAAAAATTAAATTAAGTGTAATCTTTAGAATGGTCTTAGGTCTACTAAGAATTAAAATATTGAGCTTGGGAAATAATATCTACCTGTTGAAAGTTAACTTTGAAATACCATACTTCGCTACAATTTCACATATTCAATATTATAATAACAGTCTATTATCATATTTATGAATATTTCTTAAATATCTAAATGAAAAAAAAGAAGATTCTAAATCTAATTTACTTTTTAAAATAGTAATAACTGATTTAGATACTTCATATAAATTTTTATTGCTTATTTTACCCCCCTGCAACCAATTTCCTAGAGTTAAATTCTTATCTCCCCTTGTTGGAGCTCTTTATTATTATAGGGTAAAAATGACAGGCATATCAACATGGAATAAAGAAGGTCCTGTATGATCATTTTATATGAACCTAGGAATTGTTGTAGAGCATCATTGCACTATGAAAGTGAAAAAACTCATTTTTAAGATCTTTGAATGCAAGAAAAAAACAATCAAGCTTGAACAAGCAAATAGCCCCTGTGCTAAGGCCTTTTATGTTTTACTTTTAGTATGTAGAAATGGAAATTGTGATAAATTCTACTTGTTAAGAACTTTATAACATCGTGATGATGTTTTATTTACTGGAGAGACAAGCAAACATTGTGCATGTATGCGGATAGAAGGATCATCCTAAAACAAGCAAGGACAAAGCACTTGCCGGTGGAGAGCTGCAAATTTTGTCCTATGCTCGGCATTTACAGCCATTGAGCAGTGAGGGATCTTTTTCTACTTACTGCGACACGGGACCTCGGTTTATACGGTCTCTTCCGAAGGACCGGTCTCCACGTCCCACAGTGGGATTCGAACCCGCGACGTAAGGATTAACTCCTTACTCCGCGACTCTAGAGCAGACGCTCTAACCATTGCGCCACGCGGGTGACCAAAAAAATGGAAGTTATAATAAATAATTAAAGATATACACGCTATATAAACGCGATTTTTTATGTGAAACAAAATGATTAAATGATTTGAGAAACATGATGTGATGTGTAACAATTTTGTCAATTCATCAAACTTGACATTGTGCCAATTTTGAAGAGTTGTATACCCTTTAATATGTTGCGTATTTGAATATGATAAATGTCAGTTTTAGAAGAACATAGTCATATGTTACTTTAAAATAACTTAAAGGAAAAACAAATTGAATTTTGAATGTAATAAATCAACTGTAATATTTACCATTTTACTTGAATTATTTAAGTGCATTTGCATTTGCAATTAAATATGCAAAAAGAAGGTGGCGCTTCCTACGACTGCCACGTTGGATGATGGGAATTTTTTTTGCCTTTTTGAATTACATGTTATGAAGTCTAACTAACTAACAGCTTTGCATGGTTTTCTCGCGGGCTTTGTTCCAGGGTGAATATGACGGTCACGTAACCTTTTTGGCCAATTAGATTCTGCTTTGATATTTATATGAGATATAATAATAAAAATAACAACCTTGTTTCCCCATACCCTAGCACAACCACAAATAGATCGTCGACTGCTGCCGGTGATCGTGATAATTTGATGCGCAACATTTAATCATCTTACGTCGCCATTTTTTATAAGATCTATCAAAAAGTGTTTGAGAATTTTAAGTTTTATTTTAGTCAATAATTATGTCAAACTATAGAAGTACTTCAGATTATAGAATTTTAATGCAAGTAAATGTTGTCTCCAAAAATTTTAGCATAGCATTGTTATAAAGAAAACTTCGCTGGCAATGCTATTTTAAAGTATTAAAAAAACGTCGTTCGCTAAACACTGAAATCGAACAACCTCAAAATTACAACAACAAAAAATATGTACAAATTAAAATAAATAAACAAATAAGTAAATCTGGTCAGGATATTAAAAAAGAAATTCTCTTGCAAATAGAACAATTCTCTTTTCTGCTTGAACTTTCAGTAAGGCGTGACATTCTCCGCGATACATAATTAGCGTCTCTCAAATCGCGACCTTCATTCTCATTGGTTAAAAAATTAATAACATTAGCAACTTTAGATTGTCGTTAACAAACGAAGAGATGACATAAGCCGCACCTCTTTACAGTAAGAAACAATGTAATTGGTTCCTTGCGTCACTCGTTGACGTCTAACCCATTTTTATCCCATGTGTATTTCGCCCGTGAATGGAAAGCTGTGTAAATTTCAGTATTGATGAGCTAATCTGGCAACTGAGAATCTAAGTCACTATTTGAGAGACGCTAATTGTGTATAGCCGAAAATCTCACGCCTTACTGAAAGTTCAAGCAGAAAAGAAAATTGTTTTATTTGTAATCAAACGTTGCATTGTTATACAGGTGACTATCTACAGAATGCATGTGCAGTTGGAGACGCTAATTGTGAGCCTTGTCCTCGACGTCTGCCCAGTTGTATTGGTTTACCAGATGGACCCAATCCACATCCATATCATTTGTGGGGCTTCAGTTTTATCACTTGCTACAAGAATCGTACGCTTCATGTTGACAGATGCGCAGATGGGAAATTCTTCCACCCTAGAGAAAAGTCTTGTCAACAAGTTGTCAAAACTGGTATTATTTCTAAATACAAGTCTCGGTATTGTAAAATTCTTATCTTGTCAAAAATAATTTTGGAGCTAGAAAATATTATAATGTTATACTTGGAATAGAGGTTGCTTGGGGCCAGACAGACAGTGTGCAATAACTCTATATGCCATTGTCATTTTGTTCAGATCGCAAGGTGGAAAGTGTCAATTATCTTTTTACGAAAAATTGAAGTTTGGAAACATATATGCTTCTTATTAAGGTCTTCCATCTTCGCAGAAGTTGTTTTATTAATTCTGTTGTTTCTTGATAGCGCTTTTCGACATGGGCAAAAGTCGTATTGGGCTCAGCTGAGCGAAAAGCTCTATTGGTGTCCGTCTGTCTTGTGTTGTTTGTAAACTTTCGACATTTTAGGCATCTTCTCAAGAACCACAGGGCAAATTTCCACCAACTTTGCCTCAAAACATCCTTGGGTTTAGGGGATTCATGGTTTTTCAAATAAAAGGGAAAATCCTATTTTTCTATTTACCTCCGTTAATTAATCATTGTAAATGCAATTGAAATTGAATAATTGAATAAAAAGAAATTATACAAGAATTTTATCATTATTAATACAAATAATACTTTTATAGTTTTAATGGTAAAGTAGACTTGTAAATTATATAAATATATAATTTATATAAAATAATTTTATATATAATCTAACTTTTAAAAAGGTTACATTTTATGTATGTACATTAAAAATTTCTTCAAGGACCAAGAGTATGTGAGAGGGTATTATAGGGGTTAAATATATGAGTTTAGGCACTAATATTAACAATTGCAAATAAATTTACTTACGTCAACTTATTGAAGAGAAAATACGTTCAATTATGTGTGAAATTATTAGGGAGTCAGATGTCATAGCATGACCGAATCACAGAGCGAGATTATATCTTGATGCATATTTTTGTCTCAGCGAAACTGGTTTTCGACCTTCTTTAAGTTGATAGCGATGACAAAGGTAAAATACCCGGTAAATGAAACATATAGTTATTACTAGTATTTTCAGTCAACAGATGCTCATTCCAATTGAAGAATTGTTTTGATCCTAGTATTAAATTCGCGCTTACCTTTTTAATCCGAAATTCCTTTGAAGTTCTGTAAACTGAAATAGAAAATACCACCGCTTTTGATTTCTTTTATATGAAGAATTCATAAATTCTAGAATTTAACTCAATATCGATCATTGTTCTTATATTTTATTCAATGAAATAGTAAATTTGCTTGCTAAACATCAGTGTAAACAAAAATTTTAAAGCAAGGCGAATCTTCATGACAAAATAACGTCCAAGTCACAGCATAGTAATAAGGCAGTCCATACTTGTTATGTTTCGGTTCAAATATTTGTCTCAAATGTAATTATAAGTAAAAAAACTAGAAACTCGTTGCAAGCAACAAGAGGTCTCCGTCCTATTCTCCATCCTTGTATTATTGTATGCAAGTAAACATATTTATGTATGCTAGTCATAATAACACACACACAGGGAAAAACGCACTTTTAAGAAATTAAGGAAATATCACAACGAAATATGTGGGTAGAATTCAACGCAGACGATTGAGAAAACATTGGATCAAAATTATTGTTTAAAGTTCATTTTAGTCCATCTAAGTTATTATCATACGACCAATTAAATGATAGATAAGTAATTTCAGAATTGTCTATCTAATGTTTTAACGAGGCCGAGTCTAATTCGAGTGCGCATGTCTTTGCGCAGCTTTTTAGTTTCATGCAGTCGTAGGTGCAACTAACACCCATCCTAAGTATTGTAATTTTACTACAAAATTAACATTATATTATACTATCTATAACGTTTATGGGTCTAGATATGTGCTTTTTAGACAATAATTAGGAATAAACGCAGAAATGGCTTTCACGACGTCACTGTTTCCTGGTTCTGTAAGCAATGCATGACGCTGAAGAATGATGCATAACTCGCTTGAGTATTCAAGACGTCCATGGACATTTTATTAAAAACTGTTGGCAGAACATCAAAAGAAACATACCAGCAATCTATACATGGTTATTTTGTACCAAAATAATTCATCTGCACCGATATATACAAAATTTATGCCGTAATATGCAAATTTAGAGGTATTAGGCATTGGAAAAAAAAAACTTTGTAATAATTCCTAGACCAAACCAGATGGTCAACTTTTTTGTAATTTCACAATTTTGTGCCTTTTTACAATAACTTTATATAACATGTATTTGACTGAAAAGGAAATCCCTAGGGCAGAAATACAAAAAATATGGGGAAAATGTCATAATTTGGCGCTTTTCCAACAAATTCCCTTAGGGTCCAATAGTAAAATTTGACAGCTTTTGAGATGGGTCCCTAAGAAATCGGGATGGTAAACATTTCATTTTTTATCTTAAAATAATTAGTATAATAGTAAAAATTCATTCAAGAAATTTTATCAAAATATATAGAGTAGAAGTAGTTAGACTCGGCCTCGTTAAATACAAGCGAATGCAATTATAGATATAGATAAAGATGATATCTATTATATAGTTTACTGATAAATTCTTGCAAGAATCCACTGTGGGCAACCTATTGGTTTAATTCCTAGTATTTCTTTTTAAAATGATTAACTGCTATTTGCTGTATCGCCAGTATTTTTTTTTAAAATGATTGACTGCTTTTTGCTGTTTTAAATAAAGATATTATTATTATTATTATTATTATTAAACATTTATAGAGCGCCCTATATATTAAACTCTAAGGTGCTGTACAAGCATATTATATAAAACCATAAAATTTAAAAATTTACAGCAATCATATATGAAATTATAAGGTAAATATATAAAATTTCAGTATCCACACTATACATAAAATACTAAAAATAAGATAAATAGGATAAATAAATAAAATGCAGTCACCCTAATGTAATTCAAGGATTAAATACACAGTCTATTTACAAGTCATAAGCCTTTTTAAAAAGAAAAGTTTTTAGCTTTTTCTTAAAAATTTCTATAGATTCAAATTTTCTAAGATACAAATGAAGAGAGTTCCATAAGGTAGAGGCAGCTCTGTCGAATCGTCTATTCCCATATGTCACAGTCCTTGTTGACGGAACCACTAAAAGATTTAATGATTCTGAGCGTAGGCTACGCGAAGGTGTGTACGGCTCAATTAGTTCGCAAATATATGTTGGAGCTTGTCCGTGGAGTGCTTTGTATGCATAAACAAGAGTCTTAAATTGGCAACGAAACTCTACCGGCAGCCAGTGAAGATTGATCAGAACCGGAGTTATATGGTCAAATTTCGACTTTGACAATGTTATTATGCGCGCACCTGTGTTTTGTACACGTTGAAGCTTGTTTGTAAGTTGTTTGTTAGTTCCGACAAGTAAAGCATTCCCGTAATCTAAACGGGATGTAACTAGTGAATTAAAGAGCGTTTTGCATGCATCTTTGGTGATGTAGTTTCTGATACGTCCAATGTTTCTTAGGTGGAAATAACATGATTTAGATAGTGCATTGCATTGTTTTTCCATTGTTAACGACGTATCGAAATATGTCCCAAGATTTTTAATAAAGGGGGTGTTATGGATGATGTTGTTTCCAAATGAAAGACTGAAACCTTCAATTTCAACCGATCTGGTCTTAGGCGCAAATATCATGAGTTCCGTTTTTTCCTGGTTAAGTTTAAGCAAATTTGCATTCATCCAGTTTTGTATGTCATTGAGGCATGCAGTTAGACGAATGGCGATGTTATTCCAATTATTCCGGGGCTCAATCATGATGTAGATCTGAGTGTCGTCTGCATAGCAATGATAGTTCATGTTGTTTCTGTAACAAATTTCCCCGATTGGTTTTGCATACATGCAATAAATCCTGGGCCCGAGTACCGAACCCTGGGGCACACCAATCTTGAGTTTTAAATAAAGATACTATCTATTATAGATAAAGATAAATGTCTTTTGGGGATAACCATTTTATCCCAAAGAGGGGGCGGGGGCTTGTGAATATTGATATTGATTACGATACTTTTCTTTTTCTGCCATTATGCAGGCAAATTATTTTTTTCTAAGATGACCAGGGACATGTTTTATCATTATAACAAATTAAGGTGGATGCGGGGAGGGGGGCTGCCAATACTCATTAAATCGATTTTAGGTCACCTGAGTCACTCAGATGACCTATTGCTATCCGTTTTTGTCTGTCGTCGTGCGATGTGCGTTAACATTTAAACATTTTAAGCTTCTTCTCTGAAACCGCTTAAACAATTCCAACCAAATTTGACATATAGCATCTATGGGTGATGGGAAACAAAAATTGTGAATTTCATGGTCCCCGTTTCCCTGGGGCCTGAGAAATTAATGCAATCTTTAAAAATCTTCTTCTTTACCCCTGGACATCAAGCAGTCAAACTATTGGCATGATTGTAAAAAGCATGAGCCCTCTACCAAAATTGTGAAATTCATGGCCCCTGGGTCAGGGGTTCTGGTGTTAGGGTTGGGCTATATAGATCGTATAGTGAAAGTGCATTAATTCTTGAAAATCTTCTTCTATGCTCCTGGGAAGTAAATAAACTAAGTACATAGTTATAATGAGGAAGAGTGTCTCTTCGATTATTGTGAATTTCATGGCCCTGGGTCAGTGGTTCTGGTGCTAGGGCGGGGCTCTGTTGATTATATAGTGAAAATGCATTAATTCTTTGAAAATCTTCTCCTCTGCTCCTGGGTATTGAATAAACTAACAAAGTACATAGTTATCAGGAGGAAGTGTGGTTTTTACAAAATTATGAATTTCATGGCACCAGGGTCAAGGGTTCTGGTACTAGGGCGGGGCTACATAGATCATATAGTGAAAATGCATTACTTCTTTGAAAATCTTCTTCTGTGCTCCTGTGTAGTAAATATACTAACTAAGTACATAATTATGATGAGGAAGAGTGTCTCTTCCAAAATTATGAATTTCATGGCCCCAGGGTCAGTGGTTCTGGCGTTAGGGCGGGGCTCTATTGATTATATAGGGAAAA